CACTTTTATTTTATTACTTTTCTAAACAAACAAAAATAAAAAGAAACGCATTTTAAACCATAATCCTTAGTTTGTGTTCAATTATTTTATTTTCCCGCTTCTCTGTGGTTCGACACCCTACTTCATTGGGTAAAAAAATAGTTGTGCCAATATATGGTACACACCAGTACAAAACCGACAGTTAGAAACCCATTTTAACAGACATTAAAAACCATTTTTTCACTAGTGACACTAGTTCACTCAAAGGCTAGGAAAAACAACAACAACAACCATAATTATAGCAACAATTATAGTCTAAACTAGTATCCATAAGGGCCCGTTTGGTAATATACTCATTAAAACTTTACATGTAAAATGATTGCATGTAAAGTTTAGGGCGGTAAAATAGTTTACATGTAAAATAGAATACATCGTTTGGCTATGTGTGTTATCTATTTTTAAATTACACGCAAACTGAATTAAACATGTGTGGCAAAAAAGGATTAATCCATCTCTCGTTGTCAAAAGAGATTGAGCAAATAAGCCAAGCAAATAGACAGATCGAGCAAAGACTGATCCCAGGCTTTATATACTACAGTACATACGTATAATATACATATAATATACATATAATGTATATATACAAAAAAGAAAGAAAATATCCAAGCGTTTCTTAAAAAACTAAGCAAAGATAGTTGCTGAGTATATCAAATTAACGTGGATGGAGAGTAGATCGATCTAATTTGTAGGTTGTAGAACCTCTTGTTTTCTTGTATACTACGTAGGATTGGTAGGAGAAAACCTGCGGGCAATATTTTTGATTTGCCGCTGCGATGGAGTCTTCAGAGCCGCAAGGTTGGAACCCGGTATATTTATTCTGCCTCAAATTAACTGTGTAAAGCAGTTTACCACCCTCCACATGTAAAATGTTTTACATGGTACTGTGTAAAGTGTTGTTAAAAAAGTGTCCTACAGTTTACATTAAATAGTTAAAACAAACGGTGTCAAATGTTACTTCCCCACACTTGAGACGCAAAGTGTTTACTTTACATCTTAGCAAACGGGCCCTAAAAGAATAGTTCTCACGGTCTGCTCCTAGCATAGTCTAGGGTTTTTCGTCCGGCCAGCGGCTTGCGCCGTCTGTTGCTTGGATAGGTTGGGACAATGAAGGATAGTATGTAGTGGAACTAGACGTCGTTGGCTCTTGGCGGCGGCACTGATTTAGGGTTAGGTGACTAGATTCAATTGCTTGTCTCAGCGTTGATTGGATTGCTCGGCTTCACCACAGGAGGGCTGTTCGGGAAGGGTGGCTGGCTTGTCGGACATGGCTGGGCAGTGGACAGGATGGTTTGACAAAGAGGCAGGAGGACTCTGCGCCGAATTGCTCATGATTTGATCTCTTTTGAGGGCTGGATGTTCCGGCATTGTTTTAGGGCGGAGGTAAGTTGTTTACCTTTATGAGCTTTGATGTATTCCTTTGTTGAGTTTGCAAGAGAATATGCATTGCTGGTGCTGCAGGGCCTGCAGTGGGTTTTAAAAAATGAATCTATCCACAATGCAAAGCAACAGGGGGAGAATCGAGAGATGTTAGTGGCATAGTTGAGGAAGTGAAGTTAGAGGAATGACATGTGATGTGACACTAGAGCTTGAATCTGATGCCGAAAAGAACGGGGTTGGAGCGAGCTTTGGGTGACATGCTCGACGAGAATCTTGACTCAACACATTTATTTTTTCCATTTTTTTCATTCTCAGACAATGTCGGTTTTTTACTTTTGTTATGTTTTTATTTTTTGTAGCCATGACATTAGAATTTGCGTTCTTGTTATGACCATGGTTTGGAGCATCCATTTTGTGGGTGTTCTGTGGGACAATCTCTTCCTTTTGATCACAATATGATCAAAAAACAATCATGCTTAATAATGGAAGTAACGAGTTCATGTTCTACCCTATCTACAGCGGCTGGTCGCAGCTCTCCCTGATCACCTCCAACCCTTTAATTGTAGCAAACGTAGGTAAATAGTTCAAGCCTTGGATTACAATCTTAGAAGTGATGTATTCCTCTTGGCCATTGCTGATTTTTTTTGTCCACTGGAGTAAAATACTCTTCGTCTTCTCAACACCTTTGATTTTAACAATCCATTGCAGCACAATTAGAACAGTAGAAGTGCTACGCACATTGACGTTTTATTTGTAGACTAACTTTTTCCCTGAATGTTTAGAGCTCCCTTTTTCTAGGTGATTTATTGAATTAGTAGCTCTTGAGGCTACATTTTGAAGACTGCATTCCCAACTTGCTATAAACTATAAAGCTAGAACTCCTAGAAGATGGCCTGTTGATTGGAGAGTTGAGGGATTTGGGCAGTTCAGAAAAGATGCAAAAGAGCAAGTTGCTCTTTTTCAGGTCAAAGGCGTAAAGGTTGAAATTTCACAGTCAATTAGAACAGGAAATGAATTTACATACAGAGGTTGGAAAGATTTTGGGCGATGTTCATTGATGCATTTTTTCAAACATGAATGCACCTTTTTAACAAACGGTGAAGGCATAGTAACAATAATACATTCCAGATTACTACTACCTCCGTCCCTAAAAATCTCCCAATTGCGGGTTACGATGTTTGACAAACGATAAAGTTAAATGATTCCCTGTCAAAATTCAAATTATTTTTAGTAAATAAAATTTACATATTCAGAAACTACATTACAACCGCTACAGAGCCTGTAAAAGAATAATTCAATTTTCATAAAATTTTGATATATAAAGTAAAAGGTTAAGAGTGATATAAGTTGACCCTTAAAAGCGAAATGGAAGATCTTTCATTGACGGAAGAAGTACTAGTAGTTAAAGAGTGCACAGTAAAATCTTCGCAAATTACCATAATAAGAGCAAACAACTAGGAGAAGAAAAACTTGAATATACTAACATCCAAAAATGCATACCTCACAGTAATCGCAAACAACCCAAAAAGGGTGTTGCTAGCAAAGAGACGAGTTTTGGGTTGATAGTTGATACGAGTGATTACTTTACAATCGGTTGAATGAAAATGCTAGGTTGTATAACGTTTTTATTCGGTCCATTTTTTTCAACTTCAACTTGGTCATGCTTTTCATCCAAATGGAGCTACTTTCAAATTGGCAGAATCAACTAAATCTCGTGAAATTTATAAAGTTTTGGCTAAAGTGACTAAATTGGTTGATGACTTGATTCTGCTCAATTATGGGAAAATTATATTTAAAATATTTTTTAATAATAAAATAAAGAAAAAATATATAAATGATTATCTAAAATGATCTCTTGCAAAGCTTCAACCGATTCATCCAAAAAAATATCTCCAACCTTACTTATTTTGATAATTATACAACTCAATATGCAAAATTAAAAGTTACGTGTTTACTAAAAAATTGACTAACTAGATTGATAAACTGAAAGGGATCACCAAACAGACCCTTATAATATGTATAAATTTACTTTATTATTCATGTACATCAGTACTAAGACTTTTTTTTGTCATAATAGGTATACAGAACATTACTTGTAGACTTGTAGTTTACGTTGGGCATGTACTAAAGATGTTTTCTTTTGGACTGAAATTTGCTGGTCTGGTCTGATCTGGTAAACGTCTGGTCTCTGTGTATTTTATAACTGCAGAAGTCATGTCAGGTCTGGTTTGATCTGGTCTGGGATTTGAAAACAGTCCAAAAGAAAACATCTTGACTAGGATACAACTCAAGAGCCTCAAGGGCATCTCCCTAGACAATACATACATGATACATCAAGGATGAAACAAATGGGGAGACTAGCTGGTGTTTGCTTTTTTCACTTTGCTTGACTTGGTCATAATATATACTCCAGATATAATAAGTGCAGCACCAATAAACCACTGGAAAAAAGAAGGCAATATAGTAATTAGACAGCAGTACTTAGAAATTTTGGTGGTGTCAAGAATTCTTGTGTCCCAACACCAAGAATAGTCTTGTTTGATCTCTTTTCCCCCCTCCCCTCCCACCCCCAAAAAGACAAGGTTGTGGATGACAAACTAGACCAACTAATTTTTTAATTTCTATTGTTAGCTAACTAAATCCATCGTGAATAACTCATTTATGAATATTTTTTATTAAGAAAAATTGACCACAATAATTCCACCTTTCATCGATCTTCTCAGAATATAATTCCACCTTTACTAATCTCAGAACAGTCTCATGTTTCGATTTTTCTTTTTCTTTTTTCTCTCTGATATTTTTCTTTCTTTATTTTTATCCTTAGACACTTTTTATTCCTGTCTTTTTTATTTCTTTTTCATATTTACATATTCTATTTCTCATTCTATTAAGAGAGTTTTTATAAAATTTCCTTCCCAGACATATATTTTACAAAAGATATTTTGTCCATTCTAATTTTATATTTTCTTTTAATTTTCACTTTCCCCCCTTTTCTTGTTATTTTTCTCCTTTCTTTTGTTTCTTCTTGCTACCATAATTCCACCATCAATGTTTTTTTTTTTACTTTTTCTACTATCTGCATCATCATATTTATCTAAGTCCACCCAATATTCCACCAAATACGAAAAAAACTTTGTGAAAACAATTAGGAAAATAATTGAATATAAAGATCAAATAAAAAAATCAAGGAAAAATAAGAAAGAAAACGACGTACACTTTACACGAAAAGTGATAGATGAGTGGTAAATTAGCTGAGAAGGGAAAAAGTAGGAAGAAATCTAGAACAAGTCACTAATATGTCAAAAACTAGCGTAAAGGGATGAGGTGAACAGGGACCAAGAAAAAACAAGGGAAAGGGTGCAAATAGGCCCATGTACTAACAAAAAAAGGTCAAATAAGCCCTTATTTAGGAGGCTCTGTCCGGGCGTCGCCATTTGGGGTGGTTCCCGGTGGAATTTTTTGATGAAAATTTTTGAGCGTCTTATTCAATAAGTCTAGTTTACTCATACCAAATTTCAACTAAAACTTCAATGGGGAAGGCATTCAAATGAATTCTTGAAAATAACTGCGCAGTTAGAAGCGCAGTTATCTTCAAGAATTCATTTGAATGCCTTCCCGATTGAAGTTTTAGCTGAAATTTGGTATGAGTAAACTAGACTTGATGAATAAAATGCTCAAAAAAATTCATCAAAAAATTCCACTGGGAACCACCCCAAATGACGACGGCCGGACAGAGCCTCCTAAATAAGTGCTTATTTGACCTTTTTTGGTTAGTACATGGGCCTATTTGCACCTTTTCCCAACAAACAATGACTTTTAAAATGATGAAAAAGGAAACAAAGAAGAAAGAGAAAATAAAAAGTAAAGTAAAAATTGAAATAAAATAATACTCCCTCCGTCCCGCTATGATTGTTCAATTTTACCATTTTGGTCCGTCCACTAAGATTGTCTCATACCTTATTTGGTAAAGTTTGTGTGATTCTAAATCATTTCTACTTTATTCTTAGTTTATCAATTCAATATCAACCACATAAACCCACTTTTATTAATAACCGTGCCACCTTCTCTTGTCCCAAACTTAGGGGGGTGGAGGTAGTACTAGTAATGAATAGTGCAGGATAAGGATCTTTAAAAGAGAATTAATCGATAGTAATACATAAAAATGGAAATAGAGCGAAAATGAGGAAGAAGAAGAAGAAAAAGGAAAAGAAGAAAGAAAAAAAAAACTATTGAGGAGAAATTGTACAAAAAAGGCTTTTCTGATAAGGCAAACAAGAAATACACAAAAAGATAAAATAAATATAATAATAAGATGAAAAAAAGGAAAAGATGTGCTGAGATGATAGAAATAAAAAAAGAAAATTTCTAGTGAGAAAAAAGAAAAATGATATATGAGATTGTTTTGAGAAGAACGATGAAAGGTGGGAGTGTGAGACTTTATGTAAGGTTTGCAGATAAAAGGAAAAAAATTACCTGATATAGCGGGTTATTAAACCATTCAGAAATCAATGAAAGAAGATGAGGTGCAAATGTGAGATTAGTCTAGGATTATATAAAGGTGGGATTGTTCGGAAAAGACCGCTAAAGGTGCGATTATTGTTGCCAACTTTTTTGTTTTCTTTTAACCAAATTACACTCAGAAAAACAGTTTCATTTGATCAAACTCGGCCTTAAATCCTTGAGATTATTCCTATAATAGGAGTTAAACATGTTAAATAGGTAAATATAGGAGTAAATGTTTAAAATTCATTAAATATTAATCTTTTATTCAGATTGGACAAGAATACCCCCTACAGGGGTTGGAGCTTGTCACTACCCATTGGGCTGCTGCCGTCGGATCTCTACCACAGCCGAACCTCTGCCCCCGCCGCTAACGAACGGACCTTGGTTGTGTAAGAGAACTAGAAGACAATTAATTATATGAATTAAACATATTAAGGGTAGAAAGGTAATGCTTAGTCCTATGTAGGGAATGTAAACCATGAACTCTTATTTAGGGGAAAAAATATGTTCTATTCGTATTTAGGGCAACTATTTTTAATTTTTTAATCAAACATGTCTTTTTTATACTCTCTCCATCCCTAAATAAACTATTCACTTTCCTTTTCGAATCGTCCCTTAAAAAAGTCTCATTTCTATTTTTAATAAAAACAAATACATTTACCTTACTATCTTATTTTCAACACTTATTAGCCACATTTACTTCCCACTCACCCTACACCCTATCCACCTCTTCATATTTCTATTCCACCTTCTTCATTTACTCTACTCACCCCTCTCAGTTTTGTCATTCCTCCACAATTTCAAACCCAAGATCCATGGCAAATTCAGGTGGTGGGAACTGGGAACATAGCGGATGAAAAGTGGTTTGATAAGTCCGTATTTAGACACGCATTTGATGCATGTTGAGATCAGCTTTTGATGGCTTTCCTAGCTTTAAGGTGTTACGAGTCTCAATTTTAGCTCAAGTTATGTTTACCAGGCGTTGGTTCAAGTTTTGTGTCATTTGGAGTCAAAATCAGGATTTTAGAGTTCGGCACCGGCGCTTGAGGAGAAATCGGGACGAGTTGAGAAGCATTTGAGACTGATTTGAGAGTTTTGGAAGTCAATGGGAGGTTTACGATGAAGATTTGATGACAAAAGAGCTCTAGGATTGGATACGGGATGACCTTCTATCACTCGTTCAAGCATATCTCTTTGTAGAAACATCCAAAGGACACGATTCAAGTTCCACGTGAAAGCCAACTTCAAGGGATACAAATCATATGAAGACACCATTACGAGAATATGAGAGAAAGAAGGTGAAAACAGACGATGAAGTCAGATGATCTCTGCTGCGATTTCAGAATGAGACCTTTCACCGTTTTGATCATATCTCTTGATTGGATGATTCAAATCCAATTCCGCAAGTTGGGGTGGATAGAGGACTTCATTATCTACAACTTTCATGAAGGAAATTTTGTCAAATTCGGAAGTTTGAGGCGAGAAAGCAAGAGAGCCACTGCCATGTACGCACGATCGTGCGTGGCAGGGTACGCACGATCGTGCGTACCCCCGAAACACGGATTTCAGCCTCTTTTTAGTCTCAGTTCAGCCCAAACTCATCTGTTTTCTATAAATAAGGCCTCCTTCTCCTGTTTAAGGGTTACGAACATTACGGAAAGGCCAAGGGACGAATTTAACATCGTTTTTACGCTATTTTCTTCCAAGACCCTGAGATTATTTGTAAGTTCATCTTTTTAATTAATGATGACAATTATTTTTATTCATCCCAAATCTGTTGATTCTTCAATTATGAATTGTGAGTAGTTTAATTAGGGGTTTGGGATTGATGAAAGGGTTAATCATGATTGATGGCTAGATTCTTGTCGGTTTAATTGCATGAATGTCGTTTAATTTGTGTTTGAATAATTTAACTGATATCTCTTGTAACCTAGAATCGCGACTAGAATTACAATTGCATGTAGCGTTTAATCTCTTGTCCGATGCAAGGATGCAGAACATGGAGAATCAATTAGGGCAGATTGCAAATGCTTTATCTGAGGAGTCTGAGAGAGCCCATCATAGCGACATAGAAGCCCAACCTGAGGAGACCAATAGGGATGATCATGTGAGTGAGTCGGACTGCGAAGGTGGAAATGTGATGGATGGTACACCTCCTGATGCTTTTGAAGACCTCCTATGTTTGAAGATGAAGAAGAAGATAATGGTGTCAAGTTGTTTTTAGAAGAATACAGGAAAAGGTTTGAAACGGTACAAGTTGTAACTGATGAAGTCACTGATCACCGCGATTTTCATACAAAAACTCCCCATCCATTTGATTTACCATTAGTCTCAACACCTAACGAGGAGGGCAAGGAGCAAATTAGTCATGATGATGGTGCTACTGAGGTAGGTTTGGGTATTGAAAATGAGTTGGGAAAAGATGATTACATGCTCCAAGAGTGAGGGCGAGTTACATGATGTTCATAATGAAGAAGTCTTGCTCCACAAACAAGAATTCCCCTCTTGTACACATGCACCGGTCCACTCTTACGTGGTTTCAGATATGGACTTCTTTGATTCACTCCTTGATGACGATATTCCTTTTTGTGTGAAGAATGACAACATCATCCGAGAAGTTATTGATAAGAACGGTGTTAACGAGAGTTGGGATGCCTTCATGGGGAGTGATACAGAGTCCAGAGGAGAGGTTGTGAATTTTCATGATATTTGTGAGGAAGAAGAAGACTTTTCTATGGTGCAGTTTGATTACGGTGTTGCTCCTACTCCTTGCTTGGAGACATGTTTTGAGCTTCCGGTGATGCCTAGAGTGATCAAAGTTTTCACTCATGTTCCCTATCCACATGAAGAGGATGAGAGTTTCATACTTCACTTCTGTGCTGATGAGGGTTATGAAGACCATGTGCCGCCTACGCATATTCGAGAATTTAAGGATCTGCGCCACCTAATGGCATTTGTTGAGGGGAAGCTGGAAACGTTGATTACTAGTGCACCATTACAGTCTTTGTTAATTGAGAGCTTATGAGGTATCATCAGGCAAATGACGTTAAAAATAGCGCTTCTTGGGAGGCAACCCAAGCTTATTTCTGCATTTTTTTTGTTTGTTTGTTTGTTTGTTTGCTTTCAGAAAACCCCCGGAAAAAAAAACCAAAAAAAAAACCGGGGTGTTTTTTTGAGTTTGTTTTTGTGTTTGTGTGTTTTGTTTTTACAGCTCAGGGTCTTGCCTTGGGGATGATGTGCCGAGGATCACTTGACTCAGTTTAGTTCTGCATCGACCAGCGCCTTAGGGAAGTTTTTTATGACTCTTACAATCGTCTGTTTGTAATAATTGACTTGAGTTAAGTTGAGCACGCGTGACCCTATCCTCTTTACCCCCTTGTGCATAGTGCATTTTTGGTCATCGAGGACGATGCCAAAGTTTAAGTGTGGGGGAGTGAATTGGGCATTCAGGCAGTAGTTGCTACATGTGATTATTAGAGTTAGCATGCGCAGGTGTTAGTTGTATATTCATAGGAAAAGTCGTGTCAAAATTTTTGAAAATTTTTCTTTAAACTGTGTCTTGTGAGCTGGCTAGCGTTTTGACTATGCTTTTACAACATCTTTGAAGTGTTTAGGCTTAATTTGCTTGCACAATATTCTAGTTGTTGAAAGGATGAAGGCATTAGTCACCCATTGAATAGATTCAAAAATCATCCACCCCACCTGAAAAAGTCCTTTAGGAGAAGCCACTTTGAGTCTGACCGTTTATTATTTACCCAATCAATTGAGCTCCATAGCCAAATGGCCTGTGTTTTCTTACCCGTGAATATTTCTGACTTAGTCTTGATGTTTAGGGAACTAGGAGATTAATTTACTAAGTTTAGGAAATTTTTGTAGGAGCCATTTTTGGCACTGTTCCTATGTCCCAAATAGGGTAAGAGCAGTCACCTTTTAGGAATTTGATATTTTTGAAGATTGCATTGTAGGCATGGATTCACCTTGAATAATTGAACTTTAATTGCTAATTTTCCTTGGTGAGGCCGAGATTAGAATGGGGTAATGTCTAGTAAAAGTCTGAAAATTGAAAAAATTATTATAGCTAGACCTCTTGCCTTGCGAAAAAGAGAATGGGAACCCCGGTCAAAAAGCGTAAGATGAGACTTGGGTATCTTTCAAAAGAAATGGCGTTCTCGTGCCAACATGACAAAGAAAAGTGAACCTAATTAAATGAACATGGAGGCTATCGCAAAAATTAGCTTTAGTCCTCCGCGTACTTCAAGTATACGTCAAAGCACAAATGTGCCGTGGCGGTTTAGCTTAGTTGTACACCATGTCTACTCTTTGCATAGGGTTAGATGATTGTTCCTAAATTGTGGCCTACTAAGTTCTTTTATCCTAAGAATAGCCCCGAAATTTCCGAATGCATTGAGTCTTTGTTAGAATGTTCCAAACTCTCAAGAAAGGAACTGTTTATCCTTACCATTCACTCTTCACCACCGTCTTCACAAGTCCTTCTGATCGGTAGCTAGTTTATTTGTGTGTGCTGTCACTAATTTCAGGATGTTGTGAATAATTTTGTCAAATATTTTAGCTAGAGTACAAAGATGTAGTTTATGGAAGAATTTTCTTGGTTTGGTCTGCCTGTTCTATGAATATCCCTTTAACTACGTGTGCATGCTAATTGTTTTGATTCTGTGTGGTGATAATCGCAAGTCTCGTTGTTCAGTTTGCTTAAGGACAAGCAAAGGCTTAAGTGTGGGGAATCTGATAAGTCCGTATTTAGACACGCATTTGATGCATGTTGAGATCGGCTTTTGATGGTTTTCCTAGCTTTAAGGTGTTACAAGTCTCAATTTTAGCTCAAGTTATGTTTATCAGGCGTTGGTTCATGTTGATAAGTCCGTATTTAGACACGCATTTGATGCATGTTGAGATCGGCTTTTGATGGTTTTCTTAGCTTTAAGGTGTTACAAGTCTCAATTTTAGCTCAAGTTATGTTTATCAGGCGTTGGTTCAAGTTTTGTGTCATTTGGAGTCAAAATCAGGATTGTAGAGTTCGGCACTGGCGCTTGAGGAGAAATCGGGACGAGTTGAGAAGCATTCGAGAGTGATTTGAGAGTTTTGGAAGTCAATGGGAGGTTTACGATGAAGATTTGATGACAAAAGAGCTCTAGGATTGCATACGGGATCAAAAGAAGATGAATGAAGCTGGAAAAAGACGACCAGGATGACCTTCTGTCACTCGTTCAAGCATATCTCTCCGTAGAAACATCCAAAGGACACGATTCAAGTTCCACATGAAAGCCAACTTCAAGGGATACAAATCATATGAAGACACCATTACGAGAATATGAGAGAAAGAAGGTGAAAACAGACGATGAAGTCAGATGATCTCTGCTCCGATTTCAGAATGAGACCT